TCTCAAGGCATCCTGGAAAAACCTGGGAAAATTTAGAGTTTTCCCGAGTCATGGAAAAGACCTGGAATTTGGTTAAAACGAACCAAAATCTTGGAAATAATTTAGGTTGAGTTGTATTTTAGCTCGTCACTCACGTCATCAAATCTGAAGCCAAACAAGATAAAATCTGCTTGATTTGAACGGCGGCGTTAATGTTACGGTGAGAGGAAAATCTGTAAACTGAAGTCACTTTGATCGTATTTGAAAAATGTCCCACATAAAACGATGACCGCTTACCTGTAATAAACCTGTAATAACCCTGAGACACTCCATCATTAAATAAAGAGGCCTGCCGGTAAATGTAGGTGCTGTCCTGTATTGTTAATGGAAAATGATTTCTTGTTTGGCATAACATCAAACCTGTAATCTATAGATCTATCGATAGGAATGTATTTAACTGTCTAATCATGTGGCTTTGTTGTAGTTTGGGATGAGCTGAAAGGTTGCTGGTTTGATTCTCAGGACCCCCCCTGGTGGTTTCATCAGCAGGCAGCGCTGTGGACCCGAAAGGTTATACTGCTCACAGGAAGAAGGCGCCCCGGCTCTTTGCATCGGCCTCTCTTTTGCACGTTGGTCCCGTGTTGGTGCGTCTGTCCTCCCACAGCAATAAGACATGCAGCCGAGGCTATTTGAAGACTCTAATGAGTGCGTCTGTCTGTCTGTCTGCCTACTCGTTCACTCATTGTGCCACTTTTTTTACCGCCTGCTTGCAGAACCGCTGCTGTACTTTGACTCCATCATCAGAAGTTGCTAGGGTGAGGAAAAAAGACAACTTTTGCCCCCTGCTTCAGTTGTTGAGACAGCAGCAGTTTATATATATATATATATGTGTGTGTGTGTGTGTGTGTGTGTGTTATAACAGTTAGTTGGTTCTACTTTATTCCGTTCATTCAGGAATAATTAGAGGAATGTTCTGCAGTGTTGTGCTCGAGGTGATGCAGGAGGACTATCTGATGAGATGTTTTCAGCTGTTTGTAGAGAAAACAATGATATCGTAGAACCAACAGGGTTAAACACCGGCTAGTGTTGGCGTTGAACATGTGACCTTTCTGTTACAGCACACCTTTTTACTCTGCTGGTCGTTTATTTGGTAATAATCACTGTTTTTTAGTAGCAGTGCTTTTTGACAATTTATACACAATTTTGAAGTTCAAAGGCAACTTTCTGTGCATTTAAAAAAAAAGCTTTTTATGACAGTTATACGGTGCGGATGACTCCTGTTGGTTACTTTACAAAAACCTTTACTTTAAAAAAAAAAGAGTAATGTTTAAACTTGAAGCCACAGTGAGACACTTAAGATGTTACAGGTGAATCTTTAAAGGATCCACCTGTTGTACAGAAGCAAAGCAAATGTTACGTGTTTTCTACATTTGAATTGAAGTAACGTGTGATCACCTCCTTCAACACTAATGTCAGATTCTTAAAAGCAATGGCCTCTACACTCCCTGTCCACTTTATTAGGTACACCTGTACTGTTTAATGCAGTCCGATACAGCCATGAACGGTACATATAGTAAGAAACTGATATTCAGTTGTCAGAGATGTTTTAATTCAACTATATGTTGATTATTGGGGTTGTAGTTGGTAGTGTTACTCTGCATTAAACTGACACCAATACTCTTCCCCCCTCATCTTTTAAATGGGTTGGGCGAAACATTACAAACACAATGCAGCAAACTACAACCTCAATAATAAAGCTATAGGTAAATGATTACCTCTCTGACAGAATCAATCAAAACTGAACAATTATTATCTTTGTAAAGGTTGAATATTATGGCTCAACTGTTGTATTGATGATTAGATTTTACAGGTGGAATTTAGTTGATAAATCACTGATTGAAAGTGGTAGTACTGCAGAAAAAAGTTAATGTTTTCTATAAAGCAGTAAAATCTATGTAGTGAACCATAGATTTTTACTGCTTTATGGAAAACATTAACTTTTTTTCCGTGACTAATTTCAAACAAACAGCAAACGTTCAATAATTACATTTTGATTACATTACAGTGAATGATTAATCACGATTATCAAACGTTGTATCTGTAGTTTCGTACGCCAGTCTGTCAATCAAACTGCAACTTTGGAAAGCCACTGCCAGTTAAACCTAAAAGAGGCAGCAACATGTTTGTATTTAAAGTATTCTTTTGGGTTCTGTTTCCAGCCACAGGTAGTTTTAATCTTTTGCAGCTGTGATTAGCTCATTTGTGCATTGCACTGATTGGTTAGGTCAAAGCTATGGGATATTGAATTATCCATGTTTGCTCAGTACAGCTTACCTCTCTTGCCCTCAGGTTCGCATAAACTACAGGTTATGAACTTCTTTTAAAATAAAAAAAGTGAAATTATCCACAGTATCAGCCATGAGAAGAATGTAATAATCGGTCGTCGGCTGAAGAAATCCATCAATCTTTTTTTTTTTTAATTAGGTGTATTAACTGTTAATTAACAGTTTTCTTATTTTTTTTTCATTTTTCCTGTATGAACACAAAACCCACTCAAAGCCTGCTTAGAACTGGTGTGTAGTTTGGTTTAGGACGCAGATAAAGACTCACAGACACGACAAGAATCAGTTAATACGCCAAAAAGACTTGTTGGTAGAAATAACGCCACACGCAATTCTTTAAGTAACTTTTGCTTTAAAAAAGAAGTGGAGCAAATGCAGATATTTAAGTTTATACATCACAAAGCAACATGGTGACTCATTTATTTATAACTTTATATATATATATATCTTTTCACCTTGCAGTACGTACAGTTCTGTGTATGCCAAACCAATCACTAGAGGCATATGGTATCATCAAACACCTTTTCGTTTGCCATCCCAGATCTTTACAATTATAAGGCGAGCCTGTATTGATGGTTTAGTGTTCTGTTAAATCAACCAGAAAATTGAACAACTGCTCTAGTTTGTCTTAAATTACTGTAATCATTGCTTGAGTGATAGTCTTTCCAAATGAAGCTACAGAAGATTAGATAGATAATAGTAATAATAACAATTCTAATAATCAGTATTTATATGTGACTTCAGAAATATGTAGCACAAAGTACACGTGCATGTCTGCAGTGAAGTTATGGAAACTTTTTAGGCTGCTGATAATGGCGAAACTTCCAGCATCATACATTCCCTTGTAGTCACTGTCCTTTCAGGTTCAGTGTTCAGCTGCGAGTGTTGGCGGGGACAGGTGACTGTGTGGAATATTTTAGCTTTAATACCCAGAAATACTGTAAAAATGACACCGAGTTCACACAGCGTGTTTCACCCAGGCAGACTGTGAAGTTTGAAACGTGGGATAAGAGAGGAGCAAACTTTCCCCTGGAGTACACACTCACTGCTATCAGCGAGATGGTTCGTGTTTATTTTTTTCATCTTCAATTTGTCACTTCTGTGGGTGGAGACAGATGAAATTTGTTTTAAGCAGACGGGGTGAATCTCAGTTTAGTGTCTCATTTAGTGTCAATCAGCATCTCAATTAGTTGGAATGGAAGTCTCTCCTCTTTCCCCCCCCCCCCCTCCACTTGCTTTGTGCTTTAGTCAGAAGGCAGCTGTGCATTTACATTAGAATATAAGTCGAGTACAGACACAGCAGTTAACATTGTGGCCATCTGATGTTGGTGAAGATCAGAGTGGAGCTCTGTTATAAAGCCTGTTGAGTTCTAGTGGAGGCTGGATATTGAATGAACTGAATCCTGTGTCTTCTTTGGTTAAGCTTCGTCTCAGTGACTGAACTAAATGAAGAATCAGTTAATTTGTTAGGCGTATTTTATGTGCTTGAAAATAATCTTATTAAGTACGTGTACAGACGACAAACCCAGCTAAATAAAAGACATTACCAGGCCATTGGGTTCGTGGTGATACCGTTTTACACCAGTGGCATCCTATTAGCCTTTATATTCATATAATTGACTCGATTCATCGATTATTCGCCAATTATTTTGATAATTAATAGTCCAGTGTGCTAAATGGACTGTAATTTTATATCACCTTTCTGGTCTTCCGACGATTCAAAGGTTTACACTGCATATCACATTCACCCATTCACACACATTCATACACTGATGGCAGTAGTTTCTCCTTCTCGCTAGTAAAGGACGAGCAAGTGAGCGGCCTTTTCATGGTTTTTAGTCATTTTTTAAGAAGTTCTCTGATTTCAGCTTCTCAATTGTGAATATGTTCTGGTCAGTAAACTGAATATATTTGAGTTGTGGACAAAACAAGGTATTTGAGGACGTCACCTTGTGCTTTGCGAAACAAGTGATTAACCTTTTTTACCCTTCTCTGACATTTTATTGACCAAACAACTAATCCATGGCCAGATGAACTGATAATAAAAATAATCTTTGGTTGCAGCCCTATTATCAACCAGTTGAGCCCAAGAATCTATAAAGGGAAGTAGAGCTGACAGAAAATGAATTGTCAGAAGTTTTGGTAATCTCTTATTGTGCCTTAAGTGTTTGTCCCTGTTTTATAATCATTCTAATGTTTGGACACACAAAACAAGCCATTTAAAGACTTCACCCTGGGTCCTGGGAAATTGTGATTTTCTGAATGATTAATCAGTTAATTGTAAACAGAACAAAACAGATTAAATCCTAATAAAAATATTTAGGAGTTTGTGTCTTGAGGGGAACATTAGTTGGGAGGGAGGTTGGAAGTGTCGGTGTAAACTGTAGACAGTGGCTGTTTTAGTGCAAAGGGAAGTCTAACTCAGTCGTACTGTATACAAACATGTTTAAATGCACACATTATCTGCCTGTAGGTCTTTCCCCAAAAACGTAAGAAGAAAACGTAAGCTTTCAGTGTGGTAATTTGGTTCAATGAGTGGAAAAAGCTGGAGGATTCAGTTGTGACCTTTTGAATATAGCACACAATAGCCTAAATATGTCAATGTCACAGTAGCAGCGGACTAGGTCAGCTGGATGCTCGGCGTGAAGAAAGAAGGAACACTGTGGCACCAGGAGATGCTGCAGAGGTTCGGAGGCGATGATCAGTGATTTATCTAATTAATATGAGAAAGCTGAGTCTCCCTGTGTCGTAACCCGGGCCGCCACTGACAACACTGTCCGCTCCTTTGTTTGTTCCCTCGCGGGAGCATCGTTCAGCTGAAGCAGGGACGGAGCGAGGAGGAGCTGCGTTCCATTTTAAAGCTGCCTTCCCCTCTTTGTGCGTGCAAACACACACACAGGTTGGGAGAGAACAGGGATGAATTTGTTTCTGATTTAGCACAGACGGCTGCTCCTCCCTCAACTGAGCCGTCTCCTGATGACTCTCAGACGCAGCAAGGCTCGTCTGCTCTTTTGTGCAAGGGCAAGTGGTTGAGCGAAGGGAATAAGGTCATTGAAAAGAGAACGGGTCTGTCCACCGAGACAGCCGAGAAGGATTTCTGTCTGTGGCTGCTGAGTAAAGTCTGCTGTAGCACCCACTTTTACAGGTGATAAAAATAAATCATGGAGGCTATTTATTCTGGGAATGATTTCACTGCTAATACTGAAACTGCAAATAGGATATTCACTAAATAACTAAAAAATGACAAATGCATTTTTATCTGAAATAGATCGGCTCCTTCCTATTCGTTATAGCTTAATCTA